AGGTGAGTTTCTTCAAATAAGGAAAATTCTCAAAAATTGCCTTCAGTTTTTTCTCTATACCATTCTTTCTCATATATCCTACTTTTATCCTTTTAAGTAAACCTTAACTTTCTGTTCTAATTTAGGAAGCTTTTTTATTTGCCTTAGTGAAAGAGCCTCAGCCTCATTAGCCCGGCCCCCATATTATACTAGATTCTCAGATACAGACACCTTGCCCATTTGTCATTTCCAAAAGCAGTAGTTTTGTTTTGTTTTTATCAAACAGTGGATATTATTACACAGTGGATATCAATGCCATCATAATTTTTCCTGCATTTGCTCTTTCATTTTATTTAAAAAATAAATGTATACTTGGGGCACCTGGGTGGCTCAGTTGGTTAAGCATCCAACTCCTGGCTTCTGCTCAGGTCATGATCTTGGGGTTCTGGGATGGAGCTCTGCATTGGGTTCCGCACTCAGCACAGAGTCTGCTTGTACCTCTCCATCTGTTCCCCCCCACCACCATGCATATGCTCTCTCTCTCTCTCTCTAAAATAAATAAATACATTTAAAAAAATTAATGAACTGATATTGATATGTCATCATTCACTGAAGTCCATAATTCATATCACAGCTCATTCTGTGGCTTGAATAGTTCTACGAGTTCTGACTAATGTAGGATGTCATGCGTCCACCCCTATATCATACAGAATAATTTCACTGCCTAAAATTCCTGTGCTCTGCCTATTCATCCCTCCCACCTCCCAGTCCATGGCAACCTCCCATCTTTCCACTGTCTCCATAGTTTTATTGCTTTAGAATGTCATATAGTTAGACTCAAACAGAAGGCAGCCTTTTCAAATTGGCTCTTTCACTTAGTAACATGCACGTAAGTATTCTCCACGTCTTTCCGTGTCTTGACAGCTCACTTCTTTGTATCATGGAGCAATAATCTATTGTATGGATTTTGTTTATCCACTCACCTCCTGAAGGGCATCTTGGTTGCTTCCAACTTTGGGCAATTATGAATAAAGCTGCTATAAAAGTCTGTATGGAGATATTTTTTTTTAAAGATTTTATTTATTTGACAGAGAGAGACACAGTGAGAGAAGGAACACAAGCAGGGAGTGGGAGAGGGAGAAGCAGGCTTCCCGCTGAGCAGGGAGCCCGATGCGGGGCTCGATCCCAGGACCCTGGGATCATGACCTGAGCTGAAGGCAGACGCTTAACGACTGAGCCACCCAGGCGCCCCTGTATGGAGATTTTTGTATGGATGCAGGTTTTCAACTCATTTGCGTAAATATCACAGAGCTCAACCTCTGGATGGAACGGTAACATTATGTTTAGTTCTATAAGAAACTGCTAACCTGTCTTCCAACAGGGCTGCCCCAGGTTGTATTCCCACCAGCAGTGGATGAGCCCTCCTGTTGCCCCATATCCACACCAGCATTTGGTGTTGGCAGTTTTGCATTTTTGCCGTTCTAATAGATGTGGACTGCTTTCACATTATAGCTTTAATCCGCAATTTCCTAATGACCAATAATGTGGAACATCTTTTCATATGATGGATCGCCATTAGCAAATCCTTTGGTGAAGTGCCTTGTCCATATATTCTTACCCATTCTGCATTGGGTTGTTCGTTTCCTTACTGTTGAGTTTTTAAAACATCAGATACTTCTGGTACAGTCAATTATCAGATATACGTGTTGCCAATATTTTCTCCTTGTGTGCTGCTTGTCTTCTCAGTCTCTTGGGGTCTTTCACTGAGTGGAGGGTTTTACATTTAGTGAAGTCAAACTTACAAATATTTTTGTCATGGATTATGATGTTGGTGTTGTATCTAAAAAGCCATCACCAAAACTGAAGTCACCTAGATTTGTTTTTCCTCCGTTATCTTCTAGAAGCTGTATAATTTTGAATTTTACGTATAGGTCTATGATACGTTATGAGTGAATTTTGTAAAAAGTATGAAGTCTTCATCTGACTTCATTTTTTTGCATGTGGATGTCCACTTTTTCCAGCACTGTTGGCTGGAAAGACTCTTCTTTCTCCATGGAGTTGCTGTTCTCTTTTGTCAAAGATCAACTGAGTATACTTGTGTGGGTCTGTTTGGGGGCTCTGTATTCTGTGCCATTGATATATTTGTCTATTTTTTTCACCAATACCACACTGTTTTGATTAATTTAGTTTTTTATGTTAAGTTTTGAAGTTGGGGAGTGTCAGGCTTCCAAATTTGTACTTTAGCATTATGTTGACTATTCTAAATATTTTGCCTTTCCATGTGAACTTCAGAATCTGTTTGCTGATATCCAAAAAAAAAAAAAAAAAGATTTTTGGATTTTGATTGGAACTGCATTCACTCTATAGACCAAGTTGAAAAGGAAGGACATTTTGACAATTTGAATTCCCTATCTATGACCATGATGAATAAATATCTCTCCATTTATTTAAATCTTCTTTGATTACTTTTATCCAAGTTTTGTAATTTTCTGAGTATAACTGTTATAGATATTTAGATTTATCTAAATCTAAATCTTTATATAAATATATAAACTGTTAGATTTATACCTGAATATTTCGTGGTTTTGGTACTAATGTAAATCATGTTGTGCTTTTAGTTTTAAGGTCTAGTTGTCATTTCTGCTTTAGTTGATAGCAATTGACTTTTGTATATTAACCTTGTATTTGACAACTTTAGTGTTATTTATTAGTCACAGGATTTTTAGTTGCGGTTTCTTTGGGATTGTCAAAGAGAGTCAAACAAAGAGAGTATTATTTCTTCCTTCCCATTATGTGTATCTTTTGTTAACTGTTCTTGTCTTACTGCACTAAGTAGGATTTCCAGAATGATATTGAGTAAGAGCAGGAAGAGGAGACATCCATGCCTTGTTCCTGATCTCAGCATTTAGTGTCTCCCCATCTTGATGATGAAGTGTTAAGGGAAATGTATAAAATAATTTAATTTTAATTGTCAAGTGAAAATATAATTTGAGAAGCAGCTCTGGAAATTTTTTAATATGTTTCTTTCAACATTACCAACACGGAAATATGGTTGATGTGGTTGATGCTTGGAATTTCATGGAAACCACAACAAAGTTTGTGAAGTTTGAGAAAGCGTCATTCCCTACTTGTACCTAAAAGTTCTCTCCTCTTACTGCCTATCACTGCTGTGTCATCTTTCCTCACTCACCCTTTGCACCTTGCTGGTGGTTGTCTGTCCGTCTTCAACTTTCTCTATCTGTTGCTTGTGTGGAAGTTAATGGGCATTCAAACAATTATAAATTGCTAGTGCTAAGTTTTTTTTTAATATTGCCAAATGTCCACAAACTGTTATTAGGTGCATTAATTTCTCTCTAAATATCTTCTTTCCTCTTAAAACTTGCATCATGTAGTCATACTTTGAGGTCTCATTACTGGGACAGAAAATTGTCTCAATGAGTTTGCTCAAGATACTGAATTTAACCCATTTCCCTGACTCCCCGTTCTGTGGGACTGCCATGCTTCCAGGCTGTGCTCACTGTTACCCAGGGATCACCTGGAACATTCATGGGTGCAGAGCACAGACCCAGTTGCTTCTGATGGGAGCAACGTCTCTAAGGTTCCACCTCAGAACTTTGCATTATCAGCTGTATGCTAAAGGTGAGTGTGGCGGTCATGAAGTCTAACAAAAAGAGTGGCCGTTGGCTTTGATGATCTGATTTCAAATTTTCCTACTGTGTATACTTGGGCAAATTTCTTAAGCTTTTTAGATTCAATTTCCTTATGTATAAATTGACTTGATTTTCATGTTTGGTTAGAATTACAGAAAACCATGTCTGCCTGGAACGGTTATAGTACCTAGATCATGCTAAATGCTCAAAATATGGGGTGTCTTATTAACAAAATTGTTAATAGAAGCAATTATAATCATCATAGTATCTGTCTGGTAATATAGAAGAGAATGGGAATGGTTTTTTTTTTCTTTTTTTTCATTATGTTCAATTAGCCAACATATAGTACATCATTAGTTTTTGATATAGTGTTCAAAGATTCATTAGTTGCGTATAACACCCAGTGCCCATCACAACATGTGCCCATCACCCAGTTACCCTATCCCCCCACCTCCTCCCTTCTGTAACCCTCAGTTTGTTTCCCAGAGTCCAGAGTCTCTCATGGTTTATCTCCCTCTCTGATTTATTCAAGAATGGGAGTTGTTAATCAAACTTTCTTCTCTCAAGGATTGGATGGACAATTTTACATTTTGCCAAATTCCAAATTTTGTATAAGAAAGTTAAATGAATCATAGGGATCCAAGTTCAGCAGAAACATATTAAAATGTAAATTACAAAGTTTTCAATTATATCACCTTATAATGATGCATAAGAAGAAAACACTTCCTGTTCATTTAGAACGATCCGTAACATTCTCTGGAAAACTTTGACAGACTTAAATTAGTTCTACTTCTGAATACATAGCTGGTATGAATGGGTCCACGCCAATACTTGGCTTTTGAGCTTCTTACAGAAGTATAGACTTAGAGCCTGAAACTTGGAACAACCCACTTTTTAGTTTATGTGTCTAACCTTTGTTGAGCTGCTTCACTTTTGATGACTTATATTCTTCAGCCTTGTGAAGACAAATTGTTGCTCTATTTACTAGAGAGAAGGGCTTTGGAGAAACCGAAGGATAAAGCAAGCTGCGGGTCTTCTGTCTTCAGACTCTGCTGGAAGGTCCAGAGCAGAGTCGTGAGGCTGCATTCATTTTCTCAATGGGTGAGGAAAGCGTCCTAAAGAGCAAGTAACAGAAGGGTGGCAGGAGCCCAGAAGAACCAACAAACTTTCCTGCCACCCCTCATTCTGGATTATTTTAGTGCTTTCACGGATTCTTCTGACGGCTCACATCTGCTGTCGAACCCTCCTAGCAGTTTTGATTTCAACTACTGTGCTTTTCACTTCCAGAATTTCTGTTTGGCTCCTTTTGTTTGTTTCTTTTGTTTTTGTTATTGTTGCTGTTGTTGTTAGCAAGGTCCATGCCCAGTGTGGAGCCCAACGTGGGGCTCGAACTCACGACCCTAAGATCATGACCTGAGCTGAGATCAGAGTCAGATGCTCAACCGACTGAGCCACCCAGGCGCCCTTTGGTCCCCTTTTATAACACTCTTTATCGATGTCCTCAGTCTGTTCACGCATCGGTCCCCTGGTTTCCTTTCATTCTTTACCAGTGGCTGCCTCGGCTCTGTGAACATGTTAACACGGCTGACTGAAAGTGCAATATCTGCACCTCCTTGGGGACAGTTCCGTCCACTTCTTTTATCCTGTGGATGGGCCATACTTCCCAGCCTCTTTGTACGCCGTGTAATTTTTGGTGGCAGTTGGGTGTGGTGGATATTGTAGTAACTCTGGGGACCAGGTCCTCCCCTGCACCGGGATTTGCTGCTTGTCGACTGTTTGCTGCTCGTCAACTGTCGACTGCTGGTTGTAGTCGTCCATTTGTGGAGTGACTTTTCCAAACCGTTGTTTACAAAGCTTCCATTCCTGCTGTGCGTGGTCACTGAGGTCCCTCTTCTGCTACCTCAGTGGTCTACGGTGACTTGGGGAGTTGATGTCACATCTGGGGTGCAAAAGACAGAATCTCCCAGTACTTGCAGATTGGCTCTGAGCAGGGCATCCCTTCAGCACCGCGCCGAGCCACGTAGAACCCTGCCTTGGCTTCCCGTCCCGCGAGCACAAGGGCAGGGTCCCCTCGGTTCTGTTACAAGCATGTGTTTAGCCCTGGGCACACGTGTCATGCTTCAGACTTCCCAGAACAATCAGCCTCCTGCTTCCTGGGCTTCTGGTGGTTTCTTCTGCTTGTCCCATCCGCCATCCTCTGTCCCAGACATCCACAGTACTACCCGTCCTGAAGGCTTTCGCTAGATGCCATCTGGAGGGTCACTCCTGCCCATGACCCTGGGGCATGGGGGTGGCTAAGCAGGTGACCACAAACACCACAGCCCATTCCAACAGCCTCCAAAGCCTCGTCCCTCACTAATCACCCCCTCGGTTGCTGTGAAGTTTCCATGAGGTCTCAGGGTTCTTCTGTACAAATTGCTTCTCTCGGTTTCTTGCTTCTGCCTCGTCCCTGCAGCGGAAGGATGGGGTCTCGGAGCTCCCCACCCCACCGTTTCTGCGATGTCACTGGGCACTCATGTTCCGTGACTAGTTGACAACCGGGGAATCTGCTTCTATGATAAATCTGATGATGCAATACTTACCGTGATTTCCACACCCAATTTGTACCCATTTCATACCTTTCTGTCAGGTGGACCCGAACGCGTAAAGCTGTAATCTATGCATTCATGAATATTTTGAGTTGGACAGAACTTGAGAATCCATGTTGTTGAAATCAGATGGTTTTCCAGATGAAGAAATGCCGAGCTGATAGGAAAGTAAAGCTTCTACTTTGTGGGGATGCAAGCAGGGGGTATCCTTTTCTCCTCTCCTGTGACTTCGGCTTCCTGCCAATGTCACATGAAGTGTATGTCACAGACCATGAGAAAAATACGTGGCAGCCGTGGCCCTCCCTGAGGAGACGGGGGACACCAGGGACAATGATGACAAGCAGATGGAGGACAGGTCCTGGGTGCGCTCTGGCCGCGAGGCCCCAGGCAAAGAGACAGAAGCTTGTACAAGGATTAGAATGTTGTTCATCTCTGTTTTCCCAAATGGCAAAATGTCACCGTTGGAGAACATCTCTTCTGTTTCTCCTCTTTGAAGGGTGGATGTATGGCTTTTACAGTCTGAGGTGGCAAGAAATCGCCCTCCTAAAACAATGATTTCAAATTAATAAATTCATCTGATCACTAAGAAATGGCTACAACATCGCAGAAAAGACAGCAGTTACGCAAAAGACAGAAGTTGCTTCTCTGCGGATGGGACGCGGCACAACCAAGGATACATCAGCACGTCTCCAAAGAGGAGCGTTTCTGTTTGTAAACGGCGGGTCCAGCCCCCAGAGCCGCCTCCACGCGGACTCCTGAGTGTCTGCAGATTTGCCCGTGAAGCCGCGGGGCCCCAGCGGAGGGCTTGTGACCAAGTAGCAAAGATGACACACAGAGGCGCTGATGGGAGCTAGGCGTCTTCTGACACTCGTGTTTCTGAGTTTGGTCCATTCGTTCCCGCATGTGCTCACTCCTTTGTTAAATACTTGTTGCGCGCTTGCTGGGAGTTTCCAAATCAAGAGGATGTGAGGGGCGGTCTGTGCAAGGCCCACGCAGAATCGGGGGGTAAACATGCAAGCCTCACCAGCGACCTGATGTCCGTGGGGGGGGGGACAGGAGCCGCTGGGCCCCCTATGACCTTCCGATCCTCCCCCGCCGGGGTTCACGTTTGGCCCCACCAGTGGGAGACACTCCCCCAGGGGTGAATGGAAAGGTTGTTCTCCAGGGGCCACTGTGCGGGAGACCATGTGCCGCACTGCATTAGTCTGGGGGAGGCTCCACTGTGTGGTCCCTCGGTTCCCATGGCTTCCAGTGGAGCCGTCCCCGACATCATTCTGCCGGCTCCCCCACTTTCTCCAGGGCCCAAACCTCTGTTTTGAGTGAACAAGGATGTGCGTGTCTCTTTACAGATTAGCCCTTACTTAAGGAGATGGTTCATGTAATAAAACGGTTATTCGTGCTTGGTCTCCTAAGAGAAGAGCCCACAGATGTGATGTTCGGTGTGGAGTTTACAGGTTCTGGGAAGAGAAGCGATGCAGTCAGCAGCTCCAGGGGGTGGAGACCCCATGGAAAGCGTGAGGCCAGGTGGCAAGAGGGAGCCGTGTGGGTGACGGAGGGCGGGCGTGGGACGTCCTGGAGAAGGCAGGCACCTCGGATGCCAGGACAAGCCATTGAGGTCTTTCTCGGGCAATGAGGAGTCATTGGAAAGCCTTTCGTCAAGCTCTGTAGCAGTCCCTGTGAGAGGCACTGACCGTGAGAATTAGCAGAATCAAAACACGGTGTGTCCAGTTAAACTTGCGTTTCCGTTAAAAAATAATTTTTTATGACAACTATTCCTCGTGCACCATCTATGATATAGTTACACTGAAAATTGTTTGCTGTTCTCCGGAATTCAGATACCACTGGACCCTCCTGGCAACTCTTGACAGAATCGGGGCCTTTATGTGACCTGGATTCTCCAGTCCCACGGCTGGCATTCTTCATCTACCAGCTAAGGTTACGAACCATGTTCCTCAGTCATCTTTTGCCTTTAAATTGTTTTTCCGTGAACTTCAAGGTAAGGGAAAAAAGAGATGGGTTTGCAGGCTGTCTTGGTCTGTTCGGGCAGCTATAAGATATCGCCAGGGGCCGGGTGGTTTAGGAACAACTGATATTCATTCACCACCATTCTGGGGTCTGAGATCGAGACGCCAACACGTCGGTTGTCTGGTGGGAGCCCTTCTCACGCATCATACCATGCTTTCCTACTGGGTCCTCACAAGTGGAAAGGGCATGGGGGCTCTGGGGGCGCTCTTCTATGGGAGTCCACTGACCCCATTTCCTGGGGGGCTCTACCCTCATGACCTCATCACCTCCCGCAGACCCCAGCTCCTAACACCATCTCTGTGGGCTTAGGCTTCCACATGTGGATTTGGGGGACCCGCACGGCAGGCCCGTGGCTCAGGCTGGCGTGGGAAGCGCTGATGAGCACTGAAGCTCTCTGCAGTGGGTCTGCAACGTGGGGGGATCGTGGGGGAATCGCTGGTCTGGCTGCCTTCCACCACCGAACCCTCAGCAGCTCCGCAAGCTCTGGGTTGCTTTGCCCACAGATTGCTTATTAATCCATCATCAGGTGAATAAACTGCTGTGATGAATCTGTCGTTTAAAAGAATATGAACACAAACCCCCAGAGCTCTGTGATTCTGGGCAAGTTACCAGCGCCAGATACAGTTTCATAATGCATACAGTGGGCCATTATTTGTGGCCATTATTTGTTGTTTTATATGAGCTATACCTATCCCCATCTTTTTAGGTAACGTCAGCAAGGTTTTGCTCTAGAGGAACCACCAATCAATATCTTTTTCTAGAATTTATGGTTTGGTTGAGCAGGTCCTTGGTCCCGGCACTAAGGTGAGCCTTAATTGGGTGAAGTCAGCCACTTTGGGAGTCCCATGCTTTTTGCCCTGAGGAGGGTTCTGGGATGGGCACGGGTAGGACCAACTAGGAGTAAGTAGGGGCTTACTGCATTTCTGGAAGGAAGGGGTCCTTCTCCCACCTGCCTGTGAACCCGGGACACTGTCGTCCCAGCAGCCGCCGGCAGCCACGTTATGACCATGAGGACAGGGTTTGTCTGAGGCTGTAGCCAGCCCTGAAGAAAGGGACTGAAACGTTGAACGGGAGAAAGACAACTTGGATCCCACTCACCTTTTGTGAGTTCTGGGTCAAGGCTCAGGTGAAACCCTTGGCTATCTTGTTCTCTGAGCTACTGATTTTCCAGTTTTGCTTGAGCGGCTTTGAATATGTCCCTTGAAATTGAGACATCCTAACCTCTAGATGTGTGGGAAGGATCCCATTTGCCTTGCTTTTCTTTAGTTGTTAGAAACAAAGGAGATGTGATCCCCTTAAAGAATCATTCTTTTGTTTTTAATATATAAATTTAAGGTAAAAAAAAGTAGAGCACAAAGTTTATTGTGATTTCCAAAGACACTAAAACGTCAAATGAGTCATTTCTCCTGTTTACAAAAGGTTTAAACAGGATAAATGAACATACTGAGGGCCACTCTACACTTTAGGATGATGTGGGAATGGATAATACTACCCATTCATTTTACAAATGGTTAGTAACCATGCTGTGCGCAAGGCCGTGGGCTGGGTGCTCCCGTTACGGGGCTGAGTGACGCAGCTTTGAAACCCTGCCTGATACACGGTGTCGAAGTGACAAAGGACAGATTATAGAAGCAGATCCAACAAAGACATCAGCGATGAATGGACTTTCGCAAGTCTGGTTGAGGTGCAGAGGGTCAGGCCTTTCGGGAAGCTTGAGGTCACGACGGGGGTCAGGAGGTGGGCCTCCCCTAACACACATCTGGATGCATGTGCGCAGAGCACGGAGCTCCAGGGGCACCCAGCTGGGTACAGACAGAGCCACGGCTGGTCCTGGCCACAGGAATCACC